CTCACTGTGAGGTGACAACTGAGGCTTGGGTGTGACAGAGGTTCACTATGAGTTGGGAACTGGGGTCTGGGTGTGGTGGGGGCTCACTGTGAGGTGAGAACTGGGACCTGGTTTTGGTAGTGGCTCACTTTGAGGTGGGAACTGGGGTCTGGGCATGACAGGCTTACTGTGAGGTGAGAACTGGGGCTTGGGTTTGGTGGGGGCTCACTGTGAGGTAGGAACTGGGGCCTGGGTGTGGTGGGGGCTCACTGTGAAGTGGGAACTGGGGCCTCGGTGTGACAGAGATTCACCGTAAGGTGGGATTTGGGGCCTAGGTGTGGTGAGGGCTCACTGTGAGGTGGAAACTGGCCTGGGTGTGACTGAGGCTCACTGTAAGGTGGGAACTGGGGCTTGGGTGTGGTGGGGACTCACTTTGAAGTGAGAACTGTGGTCTGGGTGTGGTGGGGCTCACAGTGAGGTAGAATGGGGACTCGTCAGAATGAGGCTCTAGGTTCAAGTCTCCACAGGAGAAGACCCCACTCCGCCTCATCCCACCTCACCCCACCCCACAGATCTGCTGGTTTAACTCTAGGATCCTCATAGCCCAACTTTCTCATTCCCAGACAGAGACACTGAAGCCCTGGAGATGTTACCACCGGCCACCTGTGGTGTTTCATATTGACCGCACTGACAGCATCTGCCAACATTTTGGGGTCAACTCTCTGGCCATGGCTGTGAGGAATTTTCCAGATTAAATTAACTGAAGTGAGAAAATCCATTCTAGAGGTGGGTAGCATCTGTCATGGGCTGGGGTCTCAGACCGAGTAACAAGGAAGAGACAGTGACTGAGACCAGCATTCGTCTCTCTCAGCTTCCTGACTACAGATGTAATGCGACCAGTGTGTCACCCCTCTGCCACTGTGCCTTCTCTAAAACAGGAAATAGGCCTTGCTCCTGTAAGTTGCTTTGGTCAGGTGTTTTGTTTCATTAATGAGAGAAGGGACTGGTACATCAGCCATGAGAGAATATCAGAAGGGTGTGTTAAAGCGGGTGCCCCAACCCTATGCTGTTGCTGGAGGAAGCTACAACTCCCAACTCTAGCTTCCAAGTCTTTAGAAATTAAAATAGCTTATTCTTGTGTGTATGATTTTTACATGCCACAGTGCACGTGTGGTAGTCAGAGGACAGCTTTGCAGAGTTAGCGCTCTCCCTCCTCCCTTACCAGAGTTCTAGAGATCGCACTTAAGACGATGGCTTGCATCAGGCCCTACCTCAGGTCGCACTGGGTCTTCGATGCCCACCACGCAGATGCACGTGAGTTCATTGAGAATGTCATTCTCGTTGTCCCAGTCAGGCTCAGGGCTGCTGGGGAAGTCACGATAGGCCACACAGATGGTACGGAGCCCGTCACAGGCCATGGGCTCGATCACCTTCTTAACCATCTCATCCCTGTCTCGGGGCCGGAAGACACGGGGTTCCCCTGCCCCACTGAGGATCTTGCAGCACCTGGAGGTGGAAAGGGAAGGAGATGAATGAAGCCCACCTACTTGGTCATTAAATGCCCACTCGATCGATCCATGTCCCATAATGCCTCAGTGCATGCACCAGGCCCGGAGTGCAACCAGGAAGCCTTTTACAATATTCGCCCCAGGCCCCTCAGCTGTCTGCTTTGTTCAGTGTTTGGGAGGTTCCAATTGCCAAGAAAACCAGTACCATAGATGAGATAGCCTGGGAAGCCCCAAACCCAGGCTGATGCTTTGCTGCCTTGCTCGGGTATCGGGCTTGCTGGAGGAGCATCTAATTAAATAAAGGTTGAAGGCTAGCCTTCATGTTTGCAATAGGAATGAATTGTCTGGGGGTCAATTCATTGGAATCAGTGGTCTGTTTTTCTTTCCTTCCCTCCTATCCTTCTTGCTCTCTCTTTGAGAGAGAGTCTCAATGTAGACCAGGCTGGCTTTGAACTCAGAGACCCTCCTGCCTCTGCCTCCTCAGTGCTGGGATTAAAGGTGTGTACTACCGGGCCCAGCTTCTTTCCTTTCCTTTTCATTGAGGTGACTCTAATGTCCTACAAGTCAGGATTGAAAATCTCTGGGCTTGACCAGGGTACAGATGGGGAAACTGAGGTGTGGGAATGGGGGTGGGGGAAAGTGACTTGATTAGTTAGATTCAGCCTGCACGGGGATGGTGATGTGTGACCCAGACACCCACAGCTGTGCAGGGGACTTACTTTTTGAGCACAATCTCTGAGGCACCCTTGCTGTACATGCGGAAGCTCTCGTCAGGCATCTTGATGACGGTGCTCATGGACTTGCGCACGGAGTTGAAGGTGTACACCTTATACAGCTTCTCCTCTGGCATCTGGCTGCGCACCGGCTCATAGTCCTGCCTCAAGTCCAGCACAAAGCCCAGCAGGCCGCACTCTGTCTTGTTGCCCACCTGCCGGGGCAGGGCGCCCTCTTTTTCCGGGGGCTGTGAAGAGAGGTGGGTGGCTTGTGCAGGGCTGGACTCGCCATTCCCCGATGACCTGGTTATCATTTTAACCCCTGAGGCTGCTGCATGGCTGAGCCTCCAGGAATCCAGGGCCCCTGGTGGCTAGGATGTGAGCCTCTGAGACACTTCAGGCTAGTCCTGGTTCTAGGATTGGTCAATAAGAATTTTTTTTTTGTTCTAGTTTGCTTTCCAGTGTGATAAAAAACTATGACTAAAAGCAACTTGGGGAGAAAATGGTATATTGTAGCTTACATGTCCTGATCATAGTCCATCATTAAGAGAAGCCAGGGCAGGAACTCAAGGCAGGAACCTGGAGGCAGGAACTGAAGCAGAAGCCACGGAGGAACACTGTTTAATGACTTGCTCCTCATGGCTTGCTTAGCCTGCTTTCTTACACAGCTCGGGACAATCTAGGGATGGGACCTCCCATAATGGGCTCTCCCATATTAGTCTTTAATCAAGAAAAAAAATGCCCCAAAAGCTTGTTCACAGGCCTATCTGATGGAGGCCTTCTCTCAGTTGAGGTTCCTCTACCTAGATGACTCTAGCTTGTGTCACATCAGCACAAACCGAATAGCACATTATACAGCATGAAAACGTCAGTGATATAAGAAGTAGTCAGACAGCTTCATAAAGGCTTCAAACTCTTCTGTTTTGTGATCGAGTCTGTCTCATGTAGCTCAGGCTGAACTTGAACTTGCCACATAGCCAAACAGGTTCTCAAACTCTAGATCCCCTTGCCCCTAGCTCCCAAGTGCTGGGATTTCAAGCATGTGCCAAAATGTCTGGCCAGATCTCTCTCTCTCTCTCTCTCTCTCTCTCTCTCTCTCTCTCTCTCCCTCCCTCCCTCCCTCCCTCCCTCCCTCCCTCCCTCCCTCCCTTCTTTCCCTTTCTTTAAAGTTGAACCCCTCTTTGTATTTCTCATCAGCAGAATTTACCATTTGACCCAGAACTGATCTCGATCTTTGATTTCTTTTTAATCATCCCAGGGTATGTATTGTGGCATTTTATTTTAAGGTAACTGTTGATGAGAACTAACACAGGGGGTTGTCTGGTGCTCTCTTTCCAGCTTCTCCCAGTGTTAGCTTCTCACATCCCCATAGCAACAGTATCACAACAAGGCAGGGGCACAGATACAATCAAAGCAACCTCACTCAGACCCACACGCATACACGTGTATTTGGTTCTTTATCAAGGCATGACATGAATTCCTGGCAGCATCACGATGTCTAAAGAGGAGAGTTTACCACGTGTTCTTGTCTCTTCCTTTGGCAGCCAGTTTGCCAATCTCTCTGCCTCTACCCACCAGTTTCCACATCTCTGATTACCTCATCTCCGTTTTCCCTTTGGTGTAGTTCTGGAGTTCACATACAGATCTTTGTACATGCTTTACCACTGAGATACATTCCTAGCCCATGTCAGTCATGCCAAGCATGGTACATATACAAAAACATACAGGATGTCATTAATGGAGGTTGGTTCCTTTTGGTCCACGATGTGGGTTGACCATCTTTAGGGCTTTGGTTTAAGTTAGAACATACAGAAGAGCTATTTCTGTTACATCCAAAAAAAAAAAAATGGCCCAACGGGGCTGGAGAGATGGCCTAGCTGTATAGTGCCTCACACAAACATGAGGACCTGAGTTTGAACCCCCAGCACCCACATGAAAACCTGCAAGTGGTGGCGTGTACTTGTAACACCAGCGCTGGGGAGTCAGAGACAGGAGAGCTTGCTGGCCAGACAGCTAAGCAAAATTGGTGAGCCCATCTTCTGTGAGAAACTCTGTCTCAAAAAGTAAGGTGAAGCCAGGCATAGCAGTGCACACCTCTACCAGGAGGCAGAGGCAGATTGAGCCCTGTAAGTTTGAGGCCAGCCTGCGCAATCAATCAATCACAATTGAGGAAGATATCTGGTATTGACCTCTTACACACACACACACACACAAACACACACACACTCAGTGGCCTTGAGCGGGCATGTAGGTGTGTCTTGCTTGTTGAAGGCTTCCTATTGGGAGGCTGAACCTCTCTGTTCCCACTCAGCCACTCCACAGTCCGTCCGTGAGGCTGGCTTGTGTTTGCTCCAGTGTGAGGCTGGCTTGTGTTTGCTCCAGTGTGAGGCTGGCTTGTGTTTGCTCCAGTGTGAGGCTGGCTTGTGTTTGCTCCAGTGTGAGGCTGGCCTGTGTTTGCTCCAGTGTGAGGCTGGCTTATGTTTGCTCCAGTGTGCTCCTTTTAAACTACTCTTCAAATAAACACAACCAGCTCATCCTTTCTCCTGGTTCCTCTTTCCCTTCTTTCTGCTTGCTCCTTTGACACCTCATCCTCTAGTACGTGCTAGTCCTCCAGCAGCATCGCCCTTCCCAGAGGCTTAGAAAAACACGGGCTGTTCCTGAAGAGCCCCTTTCCCTTCCCTGGTGGGCAAAGTCCTTCTTTTCCTTAAGGACAAACTCAAATATCTCCTTAGATTTGAAAACAGCCAGCATGGGATTCCCTCCAAGTTCCCAAGGCAAGCATGGATCCCAGCACATAGTAGGTGCTTACCTACTATTTGCTGATGGCTGAAGGTGGACTAGTTGGCTGAGAAAGATGTAGAACAGTTGAGTCAGGATGAGACGCTTGCACATGGGCACTGGGGGTGGGGTGAGCAAGTGGCTGCCAGGAGTGCAGCTCTGCAAATGCACACTCTCCCTCCTGCACCCCCACCCCAGACACCCACCTACCCATCTCACTAAAAGTTTCCATGTAGCCACTTGGCTGGTGGGCCTTCTGGAACAGTAATGGCTGCTGGAGATTACCCTAAGCCTGGAGATACTTGAAGAGGAACAAATAGCAATGGCTATATCTGTGTTCCCTCTAACTCAGAAGTGGTTTTGCCTGTGTCTCAGACCAGTCCTGCAAAAGGGGTATTTTGAATCCCTACCCTCACCCTCCTTGATATTGCCCAAGAGAGCATCTGAGATAAGAAAAAGGAGGAGTCAAGATGCCAGCCTGGGGGCCCTGAGAGAAGAGCTCTGCAGTTAAAAGTACTTGCTATTCAATCACGAGGCCAGAGTTTGGACCCCAGAGTCCATCCTGGGTAGTTCACAAACGTCTACAACACCAGCTCCAAGAGATCTGACGCCCTCTTCTGACCTCTGTAGGCACCTGCATACATACGTCCATACACACCAGTACAAACACACATATATATAGCCACCCGTGGATGCACGGAAGTACAACACAATACAACATAAAAAAAAGATGCTAGCCTGTATCAGCAGCTCAGGGCTAGGGGGGACCCCTCCATCATTGGGGGGACATCTTTCTGGCTTATTGTCCACTCTTGAAGCCCTGGTTTAAAATGGCCTGGGGAGCAGACAAGAGTTATGTGGGTATATAGACCCATGGATGCCAAGAAGGATAGAACATTTCAGACATGCACAGTTTCCCCATCTGTGAAAGGAGGGATAGAGCAGATGAAAACCACCAGCCATCTCCACATCAGTAGGGCGCCATGATGGGCAATGGAGTGAGACTGAGCGGCAGGTTCCTCAGCAGCTGAAGCACCTAAGACAGGCACGAGGATCAGAACATCTCCTGGCCACCTCAGCCCTGTTAACCTGAGACGCAGCATCAAGTGCCTTGAAGGAACACCCCATGCTCAGGTCATGGGAAGCAGAGACATCTATGAGACAACTTCTCATTGGAAATGAATTTGAGATAATAAATCTCAAGAACATCCTTTTAGCTCACTAAATGCAGTTACGTCGTACTTTAAAAACTAATTTTATAACTAACTTTCTGGTGATTCCAGAGTTTTATGTGTTTTCCACAACAGCATTCCGCCCCTGTGCTAATGAAACAAAATGACGATTCAGAGACCTTAAATAAAAATACCTAATTACTTATTTGCCCAAGAGAGCTGAGCAGTCATGCCTGCCAAGCACCCAGCATTTTATTACCCTCTGTGAAATATTTTAATTTTCCTCTAAAAGGATTTCAAACAATCCAGTGTTGCAAATGGCAGAGCTGCCTCCTCCGTAATTCAATTTGTTTCTCTGAACTTGAGCTCTGAAATCGCCTACATGCGTTATTAAGAAGCAATTCCCCTCCCCTCTTCACTCTTGACTTTTTTTCTTCCTGACAAACTCTGAGGTTTTGCTCCTGTGTTCCAGCTGCAGGAGGTGTCTGCATGATGGGGCTCTTGTTCTGTGGCTGGGACTGGGACAGTTTGGAAGGAGGGGCCTCTCCCCTTCCCCCCCTCCCCCGGGGAGGGGGAGAAATAAACTGCTCTTGCTACACACCTGCTGAAGCCAGGCCTTGGGCTGCTGCAAGTATTTTGAATCCTTTCTGGAGCTCCCCTGCCATCTCCCCCCAGCCACCCGCTTGGGTGTTAAGCCCCTGAGCCATGTGGGGTGAGGCATGGGCCTATTATAGCTGGGTCAATCAATGCTTCTGTCTTTTGGTGCTGGGGAGTGAATTCAGTAAAAATCAATGCAAGATGATTTGAAGAGCTACAAACAATAAATTCAGTTAGAAAAAAAGATGGGATTAAGGGCTTGGTGAGATGGCTCAGCTGGTAAAGGTGTCTGCTGCCAAGTCCGAAGACCCTCGTTCAAGCCCCAGAAGCCACATGGTTGAAGGAGAGAGCTGACTCCACAAAGCTGCCCTCTGACCTCCTCAACTATGCCATGGCATGTGCAGGCCTGCACTCATTTTTTTTTTAAGATTGTTATATTTATTTATTATATGTAAGTACACTGTAGCTGTCTTCAGACACCCATATGAGGGCATCAGATCTCATTGCAGATGGTTGTGAGCCACCATGTGGTTGCTGGGATTTGAACTCATGACCTCTAGGAGAGCAGTCAGTGCTCTTCACCACTGAGCCATCTCACCAGCCCCCAGGCCTGCACTCATATATGCCCATCCCCACACTCACGGATATATAAAGTTAAAACCAATACCCAGCATGCATCACCTCATACCCATTATGATGCT